AAGCAAATTAATGTCTCAAATTGCTCATAAACTAACAAACAGTCATATACAAGCAAATTCATGACACAAATTTCAACAAAAAATGAGCATACAAGAAAAACCCGATTTGAACTTTCAGTAATTTTGCGAAGATTTTGCTCAAAATTGAGCCAAAATTGAGAGAAATGCCAAGAAACTCACATGGATCGGTGTAGAGGATCGAAAATGCAAAGATTTGAAATAAATTTGAGTTGATTTGGTTGAGGAATGAGTGAGAACGAGTGAAATGAAGAACCGCGGCAAGAAAAAACAATGAACATCGAAACTGGAAATAAGGAAGAAGGTTTTAAAAAACCGGAATCCTGATTTCATCACGGCGCGATACTCCTATCGTTGCACAATGATTCTAGAAAATCCACGTCAGCTTTTTGAGGGTCCCACAAGGTGAATTGTTGGTCCATGATTATCCACTCGAGCCTCATGATGAGCAATTGATCTTTTTAAGCCTCCTGATGAGCGATTGATGAAAAAATAATTGATTTGATTAATGATCGGCCCGATTACGATCATATTTGATTGATTGAGTACATTTGAGAAGTGATTGATTATATAATTCCTAAGATGAGAGAGTTCTATTGAAATCAATATTGAGCTCGGTAAAATCTTGAAGAGTACGGTTTTACGATAGGTTTTCCAAGGCGTGAGAAGCTATCAATTCCAAGGCATGAAGACGAGAATATTTGAGAAGACAACTCAAGGCGAAGTTGTCTAGTCTTCGACAGCGCTCCTTGAGAATGTTGAGGTTGTCATCTTTGATTTAAGAAGATGGCTCGAAGCGTAGCGGTCTTCGGCAGTGCTCCCTGAGAATGTGGAGGTTTTCAAACAAAACAACTTTGATTCGACAAGATGTCACCCACAGACGTGTGCTCGGCAAACCAAGATACGCGAACTAATGTTTTCTGTAGGTATCGGGGTTAAAAATAATGATTTAGGATCACATAATGTTTTGAATCATTCTCCGTCCCTATCGACCTACTTTGGTTAGCGTTTTTGAAACTTACGTTTCTCCAAACTCAGTCAAAGTGGGGGCTACTGTAGACACCTGATTGTGTCTCCCCAAAAACCAAACCCAATGATGAGTACCATTCATGTCTTTGATTAACGAGATTGGTAAGAACTTAAAGAGTCTCGTGAAGTTCCCTTAAGCCTTGACCATATTCCTAACCTTTCCTAAAATGTTTTAATCTAAAATTATTTATTTCGTGTCTTTAAAGTCGTTCATTTCGTGTCTAAAACTTAAAAACGTCCAAACCAGATTATTTTGTTCCATAATCCTGGTCCAATTATTGTTTATTAGGATGGGGCTTGAAAAGAGCTTTCCAACAATATTATAAGCCCAAATCTCACTTAAAGCGAATAAGTTATGGCCAAAAAAAACCGGACCTTGGTCCACCTTACCTACGACCCAGTGATCATGTGAGGGTCCAATACGTTAATGTCAATCCTAAACCAATTAAGATTCATTAAGAATTTCTTGAAGCATCTAGAAGGTTCTAATTTATCCTTTCTAGAAAAGATAAAGATCAAAGAATTCCAAGCTGAATAAAACATCTCTTTTTAATAATCCTAATCCCGCTCAAAATAGAATACGTACGGAAATCTCATTGACCCAATCCGATTAGAAATCAAACTCCATACGGATTCTTATCTTTAGAAAACCATCACAGGACGATAGGACCATCGTGCCGCGATAGTCCTATCGCGCCGCAATTCACTGTCGCCCCGCGATGAAACCTGTTCTATTCCTATTCGAATTCTGATCTTTTCTGATCGCTTTGACTCTCTTTTTTTCCCTATAAATAGAGGTCGTTTTACCCCGCTTCTCTTCACCAACAATCATCAACAATCCTCTCTAATCATCTTAATCATCTCTTCTCTCTTTTGATCCCCATGTTCTTAGCCTAAACACATCCTTGATACTCTTCCAGAACAAACACAATACCTCCTTCACGAGACTTGAATACTCCAAAGCCGTCCTCGACGTTGCCTTCGACGTCGACGTGAAAGGTTGATAATTCTGAGGGTTTGGTCCCAAATCTATATTTCAATTTATATTTGATTTATTTACTTTATTGATTTAACTTTCTTGAATTTTACTAACGTGTGTATTGTTTTAATAGCAAGAAGGTTGAGGCATCAAAGTGAGTAAGTTAATTATATCTTTAATTATTCTTTAATTTTGGAGTAGAAATCATGTTTAGTATATTATTTTAATTCCTAGTATCATGTTAGGATGTTTTTAACTTCTAGTATCATGTTAGGATGTTTTTATGATTTCTAGTATCATGTTAGGATGTTGATTATGATTTCTAGTATCATGTTTAGGATAACGCTTTGATTTGATTATTAGTGACATGCTAGGATTTATTATTAATCCGTTTAGTATCATGCCTAGGACCTTACTATTAGTGATGTTTTGATGATGTTATATATTATGATGATGATTGTTGTATTAATCATATGTTGCTTGATTATTGATTGTTGTATTAATCATATGTTGCTTGATTATTCATGATTTATTGTTATTGCTTGATCACGCCTCTTTTTACAGGTTTAAAGGGAATTTGTATTTGAAATCACGCCTAATAGATCATTAATAATTTGATTTAGGCTTAATATGATTTTAATTCAAGTGATCACCTATAATAGATTTGATTGTGTATTAATAATCAACCAATGTATATTAAGCAGGTTTAGGATTAATTTTATGTATGTATGTTGATCGAAAAGCGCACATGAATATCATAATAATTAAGTAGAGGCATATTGATGCGTTTCTTGATTCGTTTAGTCTTAGGTTTAAACAAGCTCCACTCGTTTGTTTAGCCTAAGGGTTCTAAATCTGATTTCAAGGCTTCACTCACCTTAATCTCGTGATTTAGGGGTTTTTTGAGGATAGTTTGAATTAGCTTCACTCACTAATTAATCTAACCTCTCTTAATCAGGTTTCACTCGCCTAATCTAAGGGTTTTTATGTTTAACTTCACTCGTCAAACACAAAGAAAACTTGGAAAGAAACGTTCCAAATTAACAAGCAATAAAGCTTTAATCAACAAAAAAAACTTGTATAATTCGAAGTTTACAACCTTTATTTATAGACTCAAAACTAATCCTAAACCTAATCAAATTAGAAGACTAATCCTAATTGAATTATAATCCCATTTGACCTAGAAAACCTAAGAAAACCGAAACTTGATCCCCAAGTTCCTAATTCGGATATGACTAAACTAACTAAGTTTAATTCAACTTAGATTAGGTTATTCAATCCTCCTAAAACTCCTAGACATGCCTAAAAACCAAAGTCAAATCCTAATCCACTTAGGAACTTACTTTGCTAAAAACAAGTCCTAATTCAAATAGGAACTCTCTTTTGCTAAAGACAAGTCCTAATTCAAATAGGAACTCACTAGACCAAAATAATTCCTAATCAAAATAGAAATCCTAATGCTTAAAACAAGAAAAACCCTTTCAAGTGAAAGTAAAAACTTGTAAGCCAAAATCTAATCTAAGAAACATTAAAGAAATGGACCAAGAAAGAAAACCTTGAATGCTCCCGCATCACATATTTAGGGTTGGTTCAATTTCTTTTAGGTTGGATTCATACCATCATTCCCGAACATCCAGTCATGGTTCCGTTCCACTATGGAGTTAGCGATCTCCGTGATCTTGAATGGGGTGTAACCTCACACCTGTGAACGGTTTACAAAACCTTAAAACTTGTTGGCGACTCTTTTATCTCTAGCTTCTTTTCCTTGGAACGCCGCCATGCTTACAAACATGAACCATAGTAAGGCTCAAAGATGAGTTTGAAAAATTCCCAACACCAACCATAAGTGGCCTCCAATATTTTCAAGATTTTGTCTTACTATAAGGGCTTCTCTGTAACGCCCCGTATTTTCGAACCACTATTTTATGTGCATTTCAACCTATTAAACCTAATTTCTAGTTTGAAACTCTATTTCTAAATTGAAATGTTAATTTAATTATTAAAATCGTTATTTGATTTAAGGGTCATCCCAAGCTTTTGAAACCCTAATTATAATGTTTTGACGAAACGATTGAAAGTTGTTATTTAAAAGGTTTTAGATTTGAGTTTTTAATCATTTCAATTGTATTTGACTTGACTGAATTGATATTTGCCTTAAAGGGTGATTCCTTAAGCTTAAGCATCAATTCAATTAGTGTTACACTTAAATTGTAGTTTTGATATTTAACCTATTATAATTGATACAGGTCATCATGGGTGATTCCTTGACTAAAGTGTCAATTTAATAGGTATGAAATGATTTTAAGGTTTTAAGACGTTTTACGTTCAACCATATCAATATCGATAAATAAAGTTGAATTAGGTGATTCCGTCAACTCGTTTATCAAATTGATATTGTTTATAAACTATTCTTTTATTTTATATTTATAAAACTCATTGTAATGTCCTTTTAATAATTAGGTCATTAAAACTAAATAATATTGTTGTTTTGCATTTCGTCTTTTTATGTCGTTTTTCTGTAAATATGAACTTTATATATATTTTTGTATCGTGATTTAAATTATTGTTTTCATTCTTATTATTGGTATTGAGACATCAATAATATAATTTATTATTATCATTTTTTAAAAGCGAATCAAATCGCCTCCCGTTACATTTCCTTCCTAGTCTAGTTACGGGCCAACTAGAATTTGTTTATTGGTCGGGTTTTGCCTTAAAGTTTTCATGACTAAATAGATTAATATAGGCTTGTTTATAAGCTTCTTTAATCCCAATTTTAAGCCTAAAGTAATCATTCAATCAAGCCCAAAAGAAGAGCCTTGAACCGATGTATTATGAGGCTTATTTGTGAGCTTCATTTGAGCCCATTTTAGGCTGCTTTACACAGAAGCTTTGAGAGATTAGTGGCTGATCATTTAACCCTAAGTAACCTCCTCTAATCAATGGTAATAACACCTAATTAAGGCTGCTCAACTCCTCCTCTTCTCCTTCCCTTTTTACATACAAAATAGCAAGCTTTCGTCTGTTTTTCTTCACCAAAAAAAACGCAGCTTATATCTTCCTTTTTTTAGTCTATTTTTCGTGGGTTTCAAGGGGTAATTCAAGGGTGATTTGAACCCTAGTTGCTGCTGTCAAGTGCTCCTAATTTCGTGCCTTATTCATCCCCCTTTGGAGCATCAAAAGTGGAAGAACAACAAGGGTGTCTAGAGGGTTGTTTTGGGCGTGATCTTAGGCGTGGGTGGTCTGATCTCGTGGATCTTCTCCTTTCTCTTCTTAATCTGAATTTTCATGCCTCCTAATCAAAGGTAACTAGCCTTTCTTCCCTTAGATTAGAAATGCTAGGTTTTAGGGTTGAATTGATAGGTAGAAATCATGTTAGGGTTAGATTAATTTGTTGGTTGTTGTTCTTGATATGTATGTCAGATTTTATTTTCGTGTACAATTAGGGTGATAGTGGTTGTTTGAATCATGTTTTTCATGCTTGAATTATCTTACTATCAATCCCTAATAGGTGTATGATATTTTGATGTGATTATATTAGGTTTTGTGATGACTTTTGGGTACTTCAAATACCTGATTGTGTGCGTATAAGACTGCAGTTTTTGTGGTGATTTTTGGTTGTGACTGATCCCTGATTTCAATGATTATATTTTATAATATTGAAGAGGATTGTTTTACGATCGATTTGATATATTATGGGTAAAATTCGGAGGTGTTTAAGGCCACCAAATGACTGATTTTGTGACACAAGCTGAGCTGCCAACGTGAATTAGGACGTGATATTAGATAGAGTTTATGTGCATGTAAATATATTATTTTTGTGACCAATTGAATGTATTTTCTAGATTATCGTGTTAGGATTATATAGGAGTTTGTATCTTAGTCAAATTATGTGTGTTTTTTGCAAAATTCTATCTTTTAAATGCATGTACTTTCAAATTAGTGTGCTGTAATGACAGCTTGTGTTTCACATGTTCCTAGGATTTGAAATAATTATTTGTGTTGATTTGATTGCCTAAAATGAATTAGTATCATGTGAGGCTATCACCTAATTAATTTGGCATGATTCTAAGCAAGTTTGATTTGTAATGGCTTAAAACTAAGTATAGGAGCTGCTGCATCCACTGTGAAAGGTGTGTGATTAGAGAGTTTTTATGATGTATTTTGCCTAATTTCTAATCCCAAATGCATGTTTAACATGACCTATTATGTTTTTAGAGTGTATACTCTAATGGGCTAAGCTTAGTTTCATGTTTAAGGTGGGTTTTTGAGGTGATTTGTGTGAGTAGTGCTGCTGGAAATTGAACTTGGGCTGCTGCGTTTTTATTTTTGTTTAAGCATGTTAAGTCATGAATTTTAAGTCCAAAATGGTTTTATATGATGCCTATTGAGTATATGTATGTGCCCTAATTTTTTATTTCGCATTTGAAGCATGTTTTATTAAGCTTTATGATGATATATGGACTTATATGTTGCTGCCCTGTTTTGGTTGTTTTATGAAATGTAGTTTGGATTTTTGGGTTTATCAAATGAATTTATGGGATTTTTATTGTAAGTATCATATATTAGTTGAAATTATATTTTAAATAAGTGATGATGAATTTTTGGGTATTATAAACCCCTAAAGTGAAAAATTTTGATGTGTGTTTGAATATGGGTGAGTTGTAAATTGTATTGTCGACGTCGTAATGCTTTGGAGAAGGCTAACACTGTCTTTAGCATCACTTCGACAGGAGTTGTGAATGCAGTTAATTGTTGAATTCCGATAATTAATTATATTCCTGAACTCAAACGATACCTTTTGTGGTTTATTAAGTTGAAATGTCTTTTGAAATGGAGTTTCAATTGAATTTAAGAAATATGATTTTCTTATGTAGTTTTAATTGAGTGTAAGACCATTTAGGCTTCTCTATAGATTTCTGAGTGAAATATATTATATTAAGTATTTTAATTGATTTTGAATTGTGTGTGGGGCTATAGTCGGGTGTGAGGCCGAGTTGCTTCCCAATGGTTAATGAACATGCTAACTACCTGGATTGCGAGTCTTAGGTAACTCAACCTGGGTTAATTGTTGTCGTCCGGGGGTGTGTAAAATCTTGAAGGCATCTACGCATAACCGGGAGTTGGCCAATCTTAGACACGATCTCTGCGAGATGACCGGGGGTTAGTCCTGACAAACCTTAGGAAGTGCATAGCGAGGCCACTAGCATTCCCTCCATGCCAGTTCTACTATTTTGAAGGTTTTGAGTTTAAAATATTGAAACTATGAAATTATTACTTATTTTGAAGTTTATATAAATTGTGATTGAAGTTAAGTGTTTTAATATCGATTTTTCCTGTTTTAAGTTTTTTTTTGAAATATTTCATAGTTGTATGGTTTGATGGTTTCAAGTGATTTCATTTGAGTTATCAAGTTGTTTTTGGTTGTGGTTTCTTTCTATTAATTTAAGTCTAAAATCTTCTATTTCTGATTTAAGGGAGAACTGTTGGTTCCTCCCCAATGATTGTGGAACGTTGTTATAATTTGCAGGTTTCATTTGTTTATTTGATCTATGTGAGGATGGGTTGGGATTTGAGAGTTTAGAAACCAACTTTTGGGCTTGTATGCCTTTGTTGGTTAGTTGTTTGTTTAAGTGTTTTGAATTTGGTTTAGTTTGTTTTCAATCTGGCCAATAAGGGTTGTTCTGCCCTTGACTTTTGAATGTAATTGATTTACCTATGTTTAAGTTCATTTGTTATTGTCTTTTTCTTCACTTAGTTTGCACTTAGGTTAAAACAACTTAATTTTGGTGTTTGAATGATTTAAATTTAACTTTTAGACCTAGGTTAAGCTTGACTTTGTCAATCGAAGTTAAGTAGCCTCCCGTTCTGGCGTAATTCCGCTAACGCTTCTAGTTCTGAAAGAACGCGATGTTACATTCTCTACATCTAAAAAGACATCTGTACAAATATCCTAGTAAAATTGGACCTAAAGCTACAAAGGATTTACTATGGGAAATATTTCACAGCAAGTGCTAATAACAGTGTAGAAATGTCACCAAATTTGCACATCATTAAACGAGTAAGAGCGAATAATATAAAGAGTACTTGTTCCTCTGATGATACTCCAGTTAAGTATGATATGAAAGGAATGGTGTCCTTCGAATAAGTGTATTATTCCGATAGAGGGTTCGGAATTATTAGAAAGCTAATTATTCAGTGAGGTCTAGTGATCGGAATGCCTAGGTGGAGGCTGCTTAGCTTAATCTTCACTGAACCCTTTGGGTCGCACCCCAATCGAATAACCGATCCGAGACAACGAATCAATCCGAAGGATTAGATGACTCATTAGAATATTACGAACAAAGACGTTGGATATCGAGCTTGGAGCGCCGAAACCGGGCGTCATTAGTCGAATCGAATTTAGAATTCAACGAGACAAGAAATCAAGCAAGCGACAAATACGAGCTAGGTCGTAGCCTCGCATTGGCCTAGCCATGCAAGTGCTAGGCTAGCATAAGCTACCAACCGCATCACAAGGCATGCCGGAAGCCTAGCATGCATTGCGTGCTAGGCTGAGCATGCTTGCAGGGCTGGTGTTCATTGCCGGAAGCCTAGCATACATTGCGTGCTAGGCCTAGAACCCAGTATCTCGCAGCAGCTGGGCATCGCCCAACACTCGCACAACAGAGCTCAAGCATCGCAAGCAATGCTATGCGTGCGTGTGATGTGGCTTTGCATGCTTGCTAGCATAGCAGCACCAGCCACAAGTAGCAGCCGGGCCTCACTACCTCACGCAACGCACCAGTAGCAGCAGCTTGCATTGTGTGCATGGCTTGCTTGCTGTGCTCTTGCGTATGCAGGCTGGCCTACTAGCCTAGCCAAGGTGTCAGGCGCCAGTTAGGCAGCCTTGTCAGCCAAGGCAGGCTGGAAGCCAGGTGTGCGTGGCCAGCTCACGATCAATGGAGGGGACTGGTTTATGGGGATTGGGGAGCAAGAGGATTTTGGTCCCCCCCCCCTCTTTGTGGTCCTCACCTACCCTTGCTCACCATTTTCCACTTGGCGCTTTTTGATTCATTTGCATTTTAATTTGCTTTTGGATTAAAATAAATTGAGCAAAATGCAATTCTCCCACATTGAAGGGAGATGGGAAATCAAGACTTCCTTCCCTATAAATACCCATGTTTTGGGTATGAGAAAGAGGACTTGAGTTGAACTCAATAAGGCATCTCCCTATAAGTGAGAAAACCTTTAAGTTCGTAATACTCTAGTATTTCCTTGGTCTAGCCCCGACTAACTTTCGGGGTAGAGACCGCTCAGGTTGGGTCGAGGGTGCGAGCCGTCGGAGGCTTACGCACTTGCGAAGCTAGAGCTTTCAAGTAAGAGCTCGTAAGCAAGCGAAGCACGCGTCGAGGGTAAGATCGTTTTTTCTCTTTCTCTTTCTTTTGATGCTTAATTATGTGATTGCATTTTTAGTTACATTAATTAGTGTGCGGGTCTTGGGCGTGTTTCATTCCGCGTAGTGTCGGACACTATGAAACCCATCAGCGGTATCGGTGCCGCGCTCGTTTTATTTATTGTAACTAATAATTAATTAAGGTGATTTAAAATGGATTTAAATTTATGGTTTTGCTTTCTAATTAGATTAGAAGCTTGTTTTAATAGTTTTAATCTCGTATTTATACTAATTTTGGCTCACGAACCCAGATTTTGACCCGAAAATAGAGAATTTTGGGTGGAATTGATGTTCTAAATCGTTTTTGATCCTCTTAGATGGCTGTCCAGAAGCCAAAATCCACCTAGAAATATGTTTTCGAGGGGTTTTTCGTTTTTGACGAAAAAATTTTAAATATTTAAACCTTGATTAATCAAAGCATGTTAAAGGTAGATTATATCTATGGTTGCATCACTAATCTACTGCAATAATAAACCTTAATAAGCATGTTTATGAAGTTATATTTGGTGTTTAATTTGGTGAGTTTATTTTTTCACATAAACTTGCAATTTCACAATTTTGCAAATTAATTGCTTCAAGTGTGAATGTTTATGGTGAATTTGTAATTTTGAAGTCCCTTAAAAATTTTAAAGGTACAATCTTTATTTGTTTATTTGGCTGGAACTTTACTTTCTAAATTCCATGTTGAATTAATTTTTGGATTTAATCATTTTTTAAATGATTAAAATCCTAAGAGTTCAAAACTTGTGATTGGAATTTAATTAATCTTCATATTGGAAGATGTAAAATTTCAAGTTTACATAAGTTATTGTTGGAAATTTTTCATTGGATGAATGTGTTCATTTTTCCAACCCATTTAATTTTTTGTCAAATCTCATTATTAATTTATGTTTGATTAAATTAATTGTGAGTATAACCCTTTAATTTTGTAGCATCAAGATGAACCAAAAATAAGTTAAAGAACGGTTCTTCAATAATTTTAGTTTGTGCATTAAAATCGAATTTATTTAATTTAGACTTGTTATATTTTCATTTTGCTCAAAATTGGTTCTAAAATAAATTTAGAATTAATTTTCTATCACACATAAATCGAGATTAAATCCTGAGATAAGTGCACGCAAATTGAGGCAAAGACCGCCCAAACACACATCCTTCGGCTAGCTGGGCTGCTCACGCAGCCCACATGTGGCTGCTAAGGTCCGTGTGTGGGCTGCCTTGCCACGATGGTGCGCTAGTGTGTGGTGTGTGCAAGTATGATGCACACTTGGTGGTACGATGTGTGTGCAAAGGCTGCGGTTATGTGCGGCAAAAAAGGGCAGCAAACCAGTAAGTGCTAGCAGGCCCACCACAAGCTGTCAGCAGCATGCAAGCATGCGTAGCATGCTACGAGGTTGCTGGTGCTAGCTGGGCAGGCCAGCACCCAAGCACGCATATGCCTTGGGCCTTGGTGCCTAGCAAGCCTAGCCCCATGGCTTTGATGCTAGGCACTTGGCCGTTTAGTGGGCTATCTTTTTGCGTTAATAAGGTCGTTTTAATTATTTTATTTAATTATTTTAACGAGGCTCTTGTAAAATAATTTGGCAAAATTTGGGTTAACCGGCTTAATTAATTGGGTTAATTAAGTTGGATGCGGAATTTAGTGGGAGCTTCGTTATTACTTGAGCTAATTTTATTCCGTTTTAATCATATAATCGGTTAACAACTTTGACTAGTTTTAATTAGGCGCGTTAATTGGATTAGCCCCCTAAGTTAGTTACTAGTTGCGCGTGTTATGCATTGTTACTTATTTTACATTGTAAAATGTATGGGCCTTTCACAAATACTGAATGGATGAATGGAATGTATACTGTATCACAGGTTTTGTGAAAATGGCAACTAGTGGGACCCGATTAGGATAGTAAATACGGACTGTGAGCCGTTATGTATTTTTGTAAATCTAAATACGGTTTGCGTACCGTTGTGTATTTTTGTACAATAATATTTAGATAAGTCCTAATCATAATAACTAGTAGTTGCATATTTGGTGGAGATGTCTCAAAGATGGCGTTTCTAAGAAGTCGAGCCAAGTGGGTGCATCGAAGACCCTTGAAGACTCGAAGACTCAAGGGGTCATGCTAGTTGCAAAATGCATCTTTTACTTATGTTTTCTATATATAATTACGCTTACGTATATGAATGAATGGTATGATAGATGCATGTTTAGGATTTCAAATGTTGCGATGATTAATTAAGTTCACTTAAATCAACCAACATAGAAACCCTAGGTACCTATAAAATTGAGCAAAATTTGCCATTTCAAGAACAACACTTACCGAACTAATGTCCGTAGTGATAAGCTACGCCAAAGCGAGGCATCACTACTTCCTTAGGAACTTAAGGTATACTAGGTATACACGGTCTCGGTTAAGCTGAACGATATCAGTAAGGAGTCCTTAGATGTCGTGGCAATTGAGATAAAATGTCAAGAAAGCATTAGATGTGACGTTTTATCGAACCAAGAGTAGCTTAGAGCTATTAGCAGTTGGATTGCTTACCCTAAAAATATTAAGTGTTAAGACAAGCTAAAGCATGCTTAATCACTTTTTGATTTTTGGGATATTGGAATCGTTTTATAATCGCCTAAAAGGGACAAATTTTAATTCGTGGATAAAACGCTTAATAAGATTGAAAATTTACAAGTATGCTTTAAGATTCAAACTTATTGGTTTTATGAATGGTTTTTCATTTAAAATTCTTTCAATTGTAGATTCATGTCTGCAAATAACTCAAACAACCAATTTTCATTACGCTTAATTCTCGACAAGGAGATGTTGAGTGGGTTAAATTTTCTTGATTAGCAAAGGAACTTACGTATAGTTCTCATGCAAGAGAAAAAGGCATACGTCTATGATGAGGAAATGCCCGACGCTCCCAGTTAGGAGGTCACTCAGGTTGCCCTAAACCGAAGGCAAACTGCCAATTGGGATGTCAAATGCATCATGTTGGCCACTATGTCTCCGGGCCTCCAAAAGACTTTATTTGAAAAGGAGATGGCTTTTGAGATCATTTCTGAACTTCAGAATATGTTCCAAGAGCATGCCCGAACTAAAAGGTTCGAAACCCACAGGCAGATCCTTGAGAGAAAGCTCAAGAAAGGAGAGCCAGTCAGCCCACATGTACTTAAAATGATCGAATTATTTGAGAACATGGAAAGGCTTGATGCTGGGTATTCAATCGAGATGGCAACTGACATCATCCTCCATTCGCTGCACAAAGGCTATGATCAGTTCAAGATGAACTATAATATGCACAGCATGGAGAAAACCTCCACCGAGCTTC